CTTTAACTGCTACTTTATCGCGCTGGGCCCTCATGTGACAAGTTTTTAAAGAGTCCTGAGAAGTATAATTTGAGAAAGACTCCACCTGGTGTGTCAGCTCTTCACATTGCAATCCTCTTTTCAAGCTTTTCCAGAGGGTTGGCCAGCCGTTTCCTGCCATCTGTGGCGACACTAAGAATCAATCTTAGAGGCCTAGTGTGAATGGCCAATGTTCCAACGACCCCAGGCCACTGACTGAACATAACATATGCCTACAGGTGTTTAACCTAATTGCTCTTCCTTGAGAAATTACATCTACAACATTTGGGTCCTGCGTTTGAAAAGCTTGGATCAAGGGACATGACACTGTAGTATATAGCAAGTTAAATAGCTGCATGCAGTGCTGGCATGTCATATGGGCAATGGTCTAAATCCTGGCTGCTTCACTTCTGATCCAGCTCCCTGTCAATGCACCTGGGAAAGCAGTGGAGGATGGCCTAAGTCCTGGGGTCCCTGCACCCTCATGGGAAACCTGGAAGAAGCTCCAGGCTCCTGGCTTCAGACTGGTCCAGCCTTGATCATTGCAGCCATTTGGAGAGTAAACCAATGAGTAAAATATCTCCCCATCTGTAACACTGCCTTATTCATTATTTGGTTATTCCAGAGACAGTCCCCTCCATGAAGAACTGGTATCGCTTATCACTTCCCACACCTGTAGGAACCTTTGAAGTCATGAAGCCCCAAGTCCTGTCACATCAGCCTTTCATGCTGATGACGCAGCAGGGACAGAATAGAGCAGGAGTCGTTGGTGGGTGGCTGAACCATTCTGCTGCCTTGCTAGAAGTCTAGTGGAAGTGGGAGATCTTCAACCCTGTCTGGCCCCACATGAACTGTCTCTGCATTTGGCTGTTTAATCAGCAAATGTGTGCTGTTGAGCAACCTCTAACTGCCTACAGTTGACAGTCTGATGGACTTGATAACCTTGGGCAAGTTGCTGAAGCTGCTGTCTCTTTCTCAGCATAATGAGGACATCCTTCCCCCTCCCCCAACACCGTGCTGCATGAACTTGGGAGGATCTTAGCTGCTGTCAGCCTAGGCTTTCTCCTGTGAGTCTGAAATCATCCATACAAGCGCTGGGTACAAAGTGCTTGGTAAGTGTTGATGAGGATGAAGTCAGGAGTGCTTCCTTTTAATGTGTACCACATGTGTGTGTGTTTATATACACATTTATGTAGAACAGCTTTTTCCTAGCCCCACTGGTTAATTTTCTGACCCCATCTTTTGGTCATAGCATCATCCACTCTTTTAAAGAAATTCTCCAGGTCCAGCATGATGGCTCAGTGGATAATTCTTTACCTTGCACGTTCTAGGATCCCATAAGAGTGACAGTTCATGTCCTGGCTGCTCCACTTCTCATCCAGCTTCCTGTTTGTGGCCTGGGAAAGCAGCAGAGGACAGCCCAAAGCCTTGGATCCTGCACCCATGTAGGACACCTGGAAGAAGCTCCTGGCTCCTGGCTTCAGTTGGTTCAGCTCTGGCCGTTGCAGCCATTTGGAGAGCGAACCAGTGAATGGAAGACCTTTCTCTCTGTCTTTCTGTTTCTCCTTCTCTCTGCAAATATGCCTTTCCACTAAAAATAAATAAATCTTCCAGAAGTTCTCCAAGGCTGTGAACTTGTCTCATTTCAATGTGGGTAAAACATGAATATGTTTGGAACACAACAGATGTGCCATCTTTCTCATGTCCTCCCATGGTGAATTGGAAAAACACCACCTTCGGGGTGATTTGCGTTCCTAGCTCTGGCTGCACTCTTGGCATGCTGGGTTTCTGTGATGCAAATACTGGGATGTCTCCAGCTCAGAATGACTAAACCAATAACCCTCTGCACCACTCCGGGTCTCAGCAGGAAGCAAATGGCACATCCAAACACAGATAGCCCCAGGGCTATTTATAAAGGGGAGCAGGCAGGAAAAGACAAACCACAGAGCTAACATGGCCGCAGGAGCTGCGGAAACAGAACCCTCACTATCCACAGGCCCAAAAGGGAAGGAGCCGCATAGCCAGCAGCTCCTGCAACCACAAGGCAGAGATGTGGCCACAGAGGGCCACCTGGAGAGTCCTGTGATCTTTGGTTGACAGGTGCAGCCAGTTTAAGATAACTCTGTAGAGGAGACAGGGTGGTGCGGAGAGGGTGCAAGGTGGGTTTGGAAGGGCAAATGTGAGATCCACATGTGGAAATTCAAGAAATAAAAACAGGACACCCATCAAGGATGACCAAGAGAAGCAGTGGTAGGAACTGCAGGTTGGAGTTTATTCCATTCCTTGCAACTGTGGGGCTTCAACAGATTGGTGGGCTCCCTAGTTATATGCTGTGTGTCTAGGAACACCTGGGCTTTTATTTCATGATTTCATTAGATTCTTGGAGTCTGATGACTGCTCATGCCAACAGGCCAGTCCCTGGCATCTATTATCTGTGCCTTTGAACATTCTCTTGTCTGCCTATTAATGACATGTGGCAACAGGAGGTGGCTCAGTGCTCAGCCTGGCCAAATGGGACATGTTAGGCAGAAAGGAACATGTAACTCTGGAGTCTGTTCCCCTCTGGCAGTGAGTGGACGATGCTTCCTCCTTCAGGCAGGGGCAGAGTAGGCAGACAGGCAAGGTAAGCCACAGCTCAGGACTAGAGGCAGAAATCCACCTGCCCCAGAGCCAAACTTCTTGGGGGACTGAAAGAAATCTGGGACACAACTCTGGTCCCCAGGTAAGGCTTCAGTGGGGAAGGACAGTCCATAGCCATAAGCAGTCACTGTCACAAGCAGGGTAGGGCTCTGTCCCAGTATCTCCATCTTATCCTTCTAGGATGGGCCTTAAGGACTAGAAAAGTGGTGATCAGCTACATGATCTGACTCAGGGAATTCTCCAAAGACATGCCAGACCCCAAACCATTGCCCTACTGGCCTGAAGTTTCTGTCATTTGAGTCATTCTTTTGTACTAAAGAACTTGCTCCTGGAAGGCTTTGAATAAGAGGTCATGCTACCAAAAAGCACGTGACACTCTCTTCTCTGCTAAAGTCTCTTCTTTCCTCAAGTCCCTTTTTATATTTGGACAACCATGCCCCTAACCAGTAATTGGAGGAGGTAGAGCCTGTCTTCTCCCACAGGCATGAAACCAAGAGCAACAGCATTTTGCTTTCCCAGCCTTTTGTGTGGCGAGGGCAGGGATAGTGTCAGAAGGTCCTGAGATAAGGAACAGCATCTGGGGAAAACTGATTGGGCAGTGGTTGGCAGGAGGGGGGACAGTTCGTGCAAATTAAGCATCCTATGTGGGTATAGCCACATTCTCTCAAATGCTGTTAAGGTTTATAATATTTTTATTGGAAAGGAACACTTGCAGACAGAAGGAGAGACACAGAGAGGAAGATCTTCCATCCACTGGTTCACTCCTCAAATGGCTGCAATGGCCAGAGATGATCTGCTCTGAAGTCAGGAGGCAGGAGCTTCTTGCAGGTCTCCCACATGGGCGTAGGGTCATGCTCCATGGCTTGGGTCATACTCCATGGCTTTCCCAGGCCATTAGGAGGGAGCTCAGTTGGAAGTGGAGCAGCTAGAACACTGGCACTTGCAGGCAGAGGATGAGCCAATTGAGCCATTATGGCAGCCCCTGGGTGTGGTTTCAGGGGCTATTGGTTGATGGAGCCTGCCCATAATGACTAGACTAGGGCTTCAAGGCACCATGAGGGGCCTCTGAGATGCAAGAGCAAAGCAGTACAGAATAGAGAGAGCCACGCTAGAGGAGAGGCAGGGTGACATTAAGGGGAACCACTATCTGATGATGTCTGCCACCACACCCCTGAACACAGGACCGTATGGAAATGGCTTTGTGGAGCGGCAGGGGTAAGTTTGTGCTGTGTCAAAATCAGACCACTGATTGTGATCTCCGATTCACCCCAATATTTCTGCTGACATTTATTGTCTACGTGCCAACAGTCATCAGCTTGTGGGACTGCTACTCTCGTACCTTCCCCCAGCTCTCTCCGCATTTACTAAGCCAGGGTGAGCAGAAGGACAGGGGATGTGCCTTTACTGCCCTTCTCCCTCTCCCCAGGCCCCCAGAAGGGAGCACAGGGATTATTTCTTGCTGCTTGAAGGACTGGAGGCAAAAAGGGTGTCAGGACTCTGCTGGATGCAGATACTGAGCCCCTGCAGAGTAGCTGTTGGTGATCCCTCCGTGCAGAGTTGGTTGGTCCACAGTTAGCAGACTCCATTCCTTTCTGCACTACGCAGTGGTCCTCAGAACCCAAACTGCACCTGGTGTTCAGTTTGCTGATTGGATAAACTCCAGGTCAGGTTCCTGTTCTCTTAGTGCTTCCACGGGAAGGCTGTAGGTCTTCCTGCCAGACTGCAGGCATGAAGCCAGGCACCTGACCCCATCACAGCTGTTCTGACTGTGCTGGCAATCCTGGTCAGCCACCACAGCAGGGTGGGACTTCTGAACTCATACCAAACCTGTCAGTCATGCTGTGAAATTTCTGTCCTTAGTCACCGGGCCACAGATTCCCACCCTTTGCAGGATATGCTCTTGGAACTGTTTGTGCTGGAGGGGAGCACTGAGTAGCAAACCTTTTGGCTCCATGGATGTCACCAATGGAAGAGTACTGAACAATAATCTAATTGAGAACACAATAGCACAGTGGGTTAAGCCACCATTTGTGATTCTGGCATCCCATATAGGTTTCTGTCCAAGTTGATTCACTTCCAATCCAGTTTCCTGCTAATGTGCTTGAGAAAGCAGAAGTAGATAGCCCAAATGCCTGGGCCCCTACAACCTACACTGGATACCTGGATGGAACACCTACCTTTGGCTTGACCCAGTCCTGGCCAAAGAGGTCACCTGGGAAGTGAACCAACAGATACAAGAGCTCTGTGTTTCTCCCTCTCTCCCTCTATACCTTCTGAATGGATAAATAAATCTTTCAAAAAAAACCTAGGTGAAACCAACAAAAAACTTTAGAAAAAGAAAATATATGAGACCATTGTCTTTTATTTTTATACAGTGTCATTTAATAAATATTTGACCAGAATGATGAGGCTGAACCATCAAAATGAGATAAAAACTTATAGGTGGAGGGGGAGGCAGAGGCTAAGGGATGGAACCATTTTCCAGTTTAATTTAAACCCTGGCTTATCACACTAGCCTCTGCATGGAGAGCCCCCAGTCCAGCCCAGAGATGTCCTCAGCTGCCCAGGCCCAGTAGCAAACCCAGGCTTGCCCCTGAGTCAGTACACAGAGGACCAGCGGCAGCGGGTCTTGATCAGTAGGAACAGAGGTTTCTTAAAGGTGAGGAAGATGACAGTGCAGGCCACCAGCAGGGTGAGGCAGCTGGGCAGGATGAGCACAAGGTAGAGGAGGCCCGTGTCCACCTGCTCCCACTTACAGTCATGCCACACACTACCGGGCAGCTCCAGCACACGAATGACCCTGGAGGACAGGTTGCAGGTGATGGAGGCTGCGTCAGCCACGACGCCCAGGTGCTGCAGGGCGTCCCAGCCCTCCACCAGGCAGCAGTCATAGGGATTGTGACTGAGGTAGATGATCCGCAGACTCTGAGGGAGCTGCTCAGACACAGCCTTGTGGGGCAGGGCTGTGAGTCGGTTCCTGCGCAGATCCAGGGTCTGCAGGGGCAGGCTGCCCCCTAGCCTCGGGAAGCTGGTCAAGGCGTTTCCTGCCAAATCCAGGTTCTGCAAGTGCCCAAACCCGGAGAAGTCCAACTGGGTCAAACTGGAACTGAGGCCCACATCCCTGAGGGCCAGGACCTGCAGCATGGGGGCAACATCCCGCAGTGGGCTGATACCCCCGTTTAGAACACCCCAGTTGCTGGACAGGTCCAAGTGCGTAAGGGGTGTCCCTTGGAATGGGCAGTCCCGCAACGTGTCCAGCCCGCAGTCCTCCAGAGAGAGGCTCCTCAGAGAGGTGAGATTCCTGAAATCCACACAGCTGGATGGGCCAGCCCCGGGACACAGTGAGATTCGATTGTGGCTCATGTCGATTGTAGTGATGCTGCTGGCATTGGCAAAAAGGCCGGAGGGCACGTCCAGGAGCTGATTGGAGCTCAAATTGAAGGAGCGGAGGTTTCTCAGGCAGCCACTGGGCCCGGGCGTCAGGTGCAGCTGCGACAGCTGGTTGTGGCTCAGATCCAGCTCGGTGAGCGCCCCGGGGGGCTCCTGCTCCTGGATGTGGAGCGTGGTCAGGCAGTTCCGGTTGAGGTTGAGGTGGGCGAGGGCAGGCATTTGCCTCAGGAAGCCTTCGGGCAGGTACTGGAACTGATTCTGGCTCAGGTCCAGGAGACGGAGGTCCGGGAGGCTGTTGGCAGAGAACTCGTCCCAGAGGCTGACGGTGGTCACGTTGGTCACGTTGCCGTCCACCAGGAGGAACTGGGCCACCATCTCCTGAGGTGATGAGGTGTTATATAGGTCCCGGTAGAAGCCCATGTTGTTGTCCCGCAGCAGCAGTGTGCGCAGCTTGGGGCACTGGGGCAGCAGCGGGAAGAAGAGCAGCTGGTTGTGGGACAGGTCCAGCGTCTCCAGCTCGAAGGTGGCCTCGGTCCTCGACGCCAGGAACCACTCAAGGCCGTTGTAACTGACGTTGAGGAAGCGCAGCTGCGTGAGGCGGAAGTCCACGATGCACGGCAGGTTGTTGTAGGCCAGGTGGAGACGCTGGAGCCCCGGCAGGCCGTCAAAGGCGGCGCCTTCGATCTCGAAGATGTAGTTTCTCTGTAGATCCAGTTCCCGGAGACGCTCCAGGCCCTCGAAGACCGACTCGTCCAGCCTCATGAGCGTGTTCCTGGCCAGAGACACGGCCTCCAGCGACGACAGGTTGTGCAGCAGGACGGCCGCCATGTCTTCCGTCAGGGAGTTCCCGGACAGGTCGAGCGTCTGCAGGTGCGGCAGAGTGTGCAGGGCGGCGGCTGCCTCGTGGTAGTCCTCGGCCAGTCGGTTGTCAGCCAGGTCCAGGCTGCGGAGGTGGCCTTGCTGCTGGCGGAAGGCGTTGCGGTCCAGACGGTGCAGGTGGCAGCCGCGCAGGCCGAGGCTCTCCAGGAGACGGTAACGCTGCAGGGAGTGATTCTCTAGCTTCTCAAGCGGGTTGGCCTCCAGGAGGAGCGTCCGAGAGCGCGGAGAGAGGCTGCTGGGCACCGAGGCCAGGCCCTGAGCACGGCAGTCAGCGGTTCCGGTTCCGTCGTCCTGGGTGCAAAAGCACATGGGTTAGTGGGGGAACCCAAACCCAAGTTCTTTGACCCGGCGATCCTGCTGGGAAAGGCCCTCCACACTAAGGCTTCTCCAGTGGGCGAGGAAGGTGTTACTGACACTTAGCTAGGAGCTGAGCTCCAGGCCTGCTTCAATGTTCAGAGGCAGGCACTTGGCCAAGACAGGACCTCGGCTCTGTCACTTACTAGCCTTGGACCCTTGGCAAGGAATTCACCTTGTGGAACCTCAAGTTTCTATCAAATTATTAAACTAAAACTTTGTAGGGGTTGATGCTGTAGCTCAGAGAGTTTAGAATCCGGGCATCTGCTGTAAGCACCAGTGTAAGTCCTGACTACTCTGGTTTCTGATCCAGCTCCTTATTCCTGAGCCTGGGGAGACCAGCAGATGCAGACCCAAGCATTTGAGAGATGGATCACATTCTGGGCTCCTGGGTTTAGCCTGGTCCAGCCCCTGTTGCTGTGTGCATTTGGGAAGTAACCAACAGATGGATCTCTCTGTCTCTCCTTTTCTCTCGGTCACTGCCTTTCAACTTCACAAAATAAATCATTAAAATTAAATCTTGTAATAATTTAAAGCTGTTCTTTTACTACATCTTCTGGTTCTTCCTTACATCTTTCAAAAGCATGGGATTATATTCTGCAAATGGCCAAGTGGTCTACTTTTCCCCCTTAAATAATACATGGTAGGCATACTGCCTTGGTGGTACTAAGTTTTTCTTTAGATATATTTATTTTATTGGAAAGGCAGAGTACAGAGAGAAGGAGAAACACAGAAAGAGAAAGATCTTTCATCTGCTGGTTCACTCGCCAAATAGCCACAATGGCCAGAGCTGAGCTGATCCAAACCAAGGAGCCAGGAGCTTCTTCCGGATCTCCTACATAGGTGCAGGGTCCAAGGATTTGAACCATCCTCTGCTGCTTTCCCAGGCCATAAACAGGGAACCGGATGGGAACCAGAGCAGCTGGAATACAGACTGGAGCACATATGGAATGCCAGTTGAGCTGTCACACCAGCCCTGGTGGCAATAAGTTTGATCAACTTCTTTTTAGCAGCTCTGCGGGTTCATTCATAAGCAGCACTAACTGAGAGGAAGAGAAACAAGGTCAGCCCATTGGCTCTGTGCATTCATTCGGGGCACACTTAAATGACAGACTGATGGAATTATAACTCCTTATGAAGGACTGTACTATTGTTACAATATGGGGAAAATCAGTTGGGGATAGGAACTTGGGCGGGGGTGTGGAATCCCAGACTCTATGAAATTGTACCATAAGATTCAAACTTAAAAATTTAAACAAAAACAACTGTCATTCATGAGTGGTACAATTTTGGTTTTGACAAAATTGTATCTCCCCTTCCAGGAACAAGGTGTGTTTGTTTATTTGAGTCAGTGTTGGTCTCCCTGCTCCTTGGGGACTCTGTGGAGAGGGTTGTGGTCAGGGGCTTTCCTTGAGCTAGGAGACCCTGTCCCACCGTGCCTATGGCAGTTGCAGGAGATAGGCCTCTACTCTTCCAGGGGCCCTGCTGGAGTGCTGTAGAAGACCACTTGGCTGTTAGAGTCCAGAGCCCTTGGCCTTGACTGTGTCCTTGTCCCTTCCAAGGGCTGATGCAATGAGGGGCGAGGTGGGGGGCACCTGCACAGATTGAGTGCTCCCTCCAAACGAGTCACAGGAAATCTACTTCAGAATCCCCCGAGCAGCCAAGTCCCTGCAGGGTCAGGCAGGGAAGCCAGCATGGACCCCAAAACTCAGGCAGACAATTCACTTTTTTCCCCATTTCCTCCTGTGCCTGATAAGCCTTAGAAGGCAATCTTTTTATTGCATCTGTAGGGTACTGTTGGGGGTCAGATGCAGCAGAGAGGAATATTAACATTGATGAAAAGAGGTAAAGCATGGAGCACCAACCACACAGCAGCACAGTTCGGAGTGCTTCATTCTTGTACATGTTAACTTATTTAATCGCCTCGAGGATCCAGCGGTATTAATTGTCAGTGCTTTTCTTTACCTTTCTGTCATACAGATGAGAGAACTATGGCACAGAGTGGCCTCAAGGTCACCAGCTTAGAAGTGGTGGGGCTGGGATTTCAAGCATGGTCAGCCTGGTTCATAACCCTTATAGCATACTAGCATGCACTCGTGGTTAGAGGTTACTACAAGTGGTTAGCAACCATGACAATTGAGTTTTTCTGATTAATCAGCTTGGGAACATGTTCTCAAATGTCTTACCCCTGATATCCAGTTGGTTTTCCCTGGGCTTGGTAGGGCTCAAGGAATGTTTATTAAGAGCAACTGGCACACAGCATTGTGACACCAGGTGGGCAGAGAGCAACTCGGTCTTCTTCACGCCCCTGCCCCTCATGACTGACAATCTGTCAGTTCTCCCAGATGGACCAAACCTTGTTGGCACAGGAACAGCAGACAAATCAGGGTTAAAGAGAAAACTCACCCACTTGCAGCTCCCTTGGGACACAGCAATGTCCGCTCCACTGCTCTTTGTCCATCCCACGGCTAAGAAGTGACAACCCAGGCAGAGCCAGAGGGGCAGCAACTCCATTTCAAGGGCAGCCCTGTGGACAGAGGGTGGGGGGAACAAGTCAGAGATGGACATTCCAGAGGGTTGCTTTGCATTTTCAGTAGCAGGAGCCAGTTCCTAGTTCTATCTGGGGTTGGAGGCCACAGCCCGCCCGTAGGTGGGAACCCACAGAGTATTCAAATACCCCGGGGAAACCAACACTTTCGACCTTTCGTTCAAGCTCGTGGCATCAACTCAATTCTCTCTTTTGAGGGGCAGGTGGCTGGACACAGACACTGTAGTCACCTGGAGCTTCCCATGTCTTGTAGCTTTGCTACCTTTCTTGCTCCAACTCCTGTCAGCCTGACGTGTCACATGAGTACAATAAACGTTTGCTGAATTAATGACAGAATGAAGGAAGAAAGAGTGACCAGGGATTGAAATACTAATTAGAGCCTTGGGACCTGTACAGTTACTAATTGTCTTTTTAACGTGGTTTTCAGGCATGCTGGCATAGTGATCTAACCTGCCTATAGCAGGCAGGTTAGGATCCTGCACCCACGTGGGAGACCCGAAGGAGGTTCCTGGGCTACTGGCTTCAGGTCGGCACAGCTCCGGCCATTGCAGCCACTTGGAGAGTGAATCAATGGAAGGAAGATCTTCCTCTCTGTCTCTCCTTCTCTCTGTATATCTGACTTTCCAACAAAAATAAAATATATCTTTAAAAAGTGGCATTCAATTATTTAAAAAAAAGTTCATGGAAAATACACACTCCTTTAATTGTTTTGTCTGCATGTCTCGCACCATGACAAGATCCACAGATGGTAACAGGTTCAGGTTAGCAGCTCATCCCCAGTGCAGGGCTTAGAGCAGCCCCAAGGGCTCCCTCTCTGAGTCCAGGGAGGAGAAAGCAGGCTGGTTTCATGCCCTGGAGGTGCCTGTGCCTGGACTGCCCTCCTGCTGTGGCACTGACAGCCCCATTCTCTTCAGAGTTAGAGGCAGGTGTGCCCAGCACCCCATCTGCCCCATCCTCATCCTCTCCTGATGTCCACCCACTTAAGACTGGACCTCAGTCTCCTCCTGGCCCAGCAGCACCGGCAGCACCACACTATTGCTGTAACCCTGGGACCCCCAGACCTTGGGACTCATCGGGGTCAACTCTGATCCCTTTCTCTTGGCCTTTGTATGAATAAGCTTACCCATCTCCAGGGCTAATTTTAACTTCTTGGTCAGATCTCAAAAGGCTCAGCCTAGGAATGCAGAGCAATAGAAAGGCTAAGTGCATCAGGTAAACCAACTGGAACCTTTCCTTCCTGCTAGGCCAGCTCTGCTTACTGCAGAAAGAACTCCAGCGCAGCAGGCAGCAACGCTTGCTGGCACCAGGAAACCCCTTCCAGGCCCTCCTGCCACTTGTGCACCTGGGCAGAAGCAAGCACCCTCATGGCCCACACCAAGACATAAACTGGCAGAAGCAGAGTCACAGACATGGGCTCCTGTCCTCAGCATCCTCCGGGTCTGCACAAGCTGTCTGCCCACCCACATGTCCTGGAACCTGGAGATCACTGCCCACCTCCAGATGAAGTTGCCAGATACAACAAATTGCAAGATGCCGTTTGAATGTCAGAGACGTGCTTATACTAAAAACGTGTTTATCTGACATCCACATTCTATTGCAGAGAATTTTCCCTGCTTTTCATCCTCACCCTATCAGGCTTAGGTGGGAATATGCTGTCTCTGACTTCTAGAACTGCCAGCTTTACAACAATTATGAATCTAGGGGTCTGGCGCATGGCAGGTGGGGTAAGGTGCTACCTGCAGAAGCAACATCCCACATAGGCACTTATTCAAGTTCTGGCTACTCCACTTCTGATCCAGCTTCCTGCTAATGTGTCTGGAAAAACAACAAAGGATGGTTTAAGTCTTGGGCCTTCATAGGAGACCTGGATGAATCTCTTGGTTCCTAGCTTTGGACTGGCCCAACCCTGGCCATTGTGGCCATTTGGGGTATGAGGCAGTGGATAGAAGACCTCTCTCTGCCTCTCCTTCTCTCTCTGCAACTCTGCCTTTGAAATAGATATTTAAAACAAGCAAGCAAATAATCTATAGTGTGTCAGGCAAGAGAGCAGTTTCATCTGGGAGCATGTAATGCTTCAGACGGGCATGCTAGACTGCGGGGGTCCGTGCAGTAGGTGTGGATGACATGAAGGTGTGAAGAGAACAGCTCCCTGCTTGGCAGGGCCTGGGGAGCTTCCAGCTGTTTGGCAGGGCCCGGCGATTTCTCTCTGACCATCTTGACACAGTCTCACCCCCTGTTTGCATGGACACTCAAGCACCCCACTAAGAATTCTATAATCTATTGAGGCATTGTTTGCCCCAGTGAGATGGCTTTGGCAACTACTGTGAGCTTAAGAGTTAATGTTATTGATAATGTCTTAGTGAGTGGGCCTTTAACTGCGCACAGGAGTACAATTAAACCCATGCCATTTCTGGACACCTTATTGTGTGCCTACCCATTGCCCTGAAATCGGGCCCAGACATATAGCACGCCTTCTGGGAAACGGCTTAACAAGAATTTTACAAACCAATGGAAGCGATGGGAGTATGAGCTGAAACTGCTATGGCAAAAATATAGTTGCTGTGACCTTAAAGGTTACCCTGTCCTTGCAACTCTTTAGAGCACAGAAAATGTAGCTGCTTTAGCCGCTTTCATAATCTTTTAACTAGAGGAAATATAGGATGATTCTATTAACATCACAGAGATATACTTTTGATTATTGTTTGATTGCTTATGAGGTTGTAGAGCCTGCAGTTGTAGGGGATTTAATGTTTGAAACTTTTTGTCTTAGATCCTTATATTTTTTCTCTTTTGATGTATTTCTCCCATTATGTGATAGATAAAGTTGTGAAAATAAAATGTAGTAGGAATGTTTTACTAATTAGTAGGTAACCATCTGTGCCTTGGCCTTGGAGTTCTGGCTGTCACCTAGTGGTCACTTCTGAAGAATGAATTACGGCTTGCTTTAAAGAAACTGATTATAGTAACTTACAGAATTATCTTTAAGAGCACCTGGTTGACCATGAAGTAAAAATTAATTGAACATCTGTGCATGCTGTCTTAGTTCTAAAGTTAAAGATAAAAAATCAAATGTTTGTGCAGAGACTTGTGATGTGTCTAAGTAAATAAAAAGGACAGCTTCTTCTTGAGCAAGGAAGCAGCAAAAACGCAACAAGTGTCTGTGTCTTTCCTTATCGCCGACTCCACGCACCCTTCCCGAGCTCCGAACTCAGCTGGAGCTGGACTCTGGCACTAGACAGACCTCATTGTCTTCTACACTTCCTTACACTAGACTTACAACTCAGGGTTAACTCCAACTCCTGGATCAAGAACTTTTCAGATGTAAAGCACATCCTCTCCTTCTTCTTAAACTTGGCCAGCTGGCCCAGAACAGCTCTCTCTATGCCCCTTGGCCCGCTCCCCTGGCATGAAGCAGAAAGATTCCTTGGAATGATTAAATCTGAAACTCAACAAGCCCAGAGTTCGAATTCTTTCTCCAGTATTTGTTTAGTCCTTTAGCAACTCACCAAAGTCCAAGACAGACATAATCCTTTTGTTAAAAAAAAAAAAGGAATAATAACAACTATCCACAGAAGCTTATAATACATGAAAGTGCTGTGTTGCCAGAACCTGTGAAGGTAGTTAATAACATAATTATTATTCATGAATCCTAAACACCAGTGAACTGGTTAAGTGGTGGTTATTCCTGTATTCATTCTGCAAGGTAATTCAATAGCTACACAAAGCCCAAAAGAAAGGATGACTAATTTGGGTGGAGAAATGAATACAGTTTTATACCAACTAAATGTCTAAAAAGTAGGCCAGATGGTTGGATCAGAAGTTTCATGTTAATGAATTTTAGAATAAGACTGATTTCCAGAAACAGATGTCTGTGCTGGTTGTCAGCTGTTTGTCCCCTGCGCTTGCTTTGCTCTATAGGCAGTGGCTGATTTCCTGAAGGATCTGCTTCCCACACTCCAGCTGGTTGGGTCAGTGGTGACTAATGAAAAGGCAAAGGAGAGGATCTGGCACTGTGGCTTAGCATAGAAAGTCACTGCCTGTAACACCAGTATCCCATATGGGTACCTGTTCAAGTCTGTCTGCTTCCCTTCAAATCCAGCTCCCTGTTAATGCTGCTACAGAGAAAGCAGCAGCAGATGACACAAGGACTTGAGCCCTGCACCCATACGGGAGACACGGAGGAAGCTCAAGGCCATTTTCTGCTGCTTTTTCCAGGTGATTGTCAGGGAGCTGGATCAGAAGTGGGGCAGCTGGGACATGATGGTGTTCATATGGGATGCTAGCACTGCAGGCAATGGTTTTACTAGATATACCACGGTGCCAGCCCCCTCAACTCGGTTTCTAAAGGAATCTTTCAGCTGCCCTCCACTTTTCAATTTCCCGAAATGCCCATTTTCTTACCATCATAAAACTCCAGGTAACTCAGGAGGAAAGCAAGCTCCCTGTTAGGTCTTGTGATCAACACATAGGTGTATTATTGTTTCCTCCAAACTGTATGTAAGTCTTTTCCTACGTTTCTTTGCCTAGTGGTTATCACTTCTAATAGCTTTCTGTCACTATGTAGTATCTTACTCAGCTGATAATAAACCACAGCTACCATCAGGTAAGGATACATCCTATAGATGTTTTTGATCATAAAGAAGTCAGTCCCCTAGCGGCTGGCATTGTGACACAATGGGTGAAACCACTACCTGTGAGGCCAACATCCCACATGAGTGCTGGTCCATCTCAGCTGCTCCACTTCTGATCCAGCTCCCTGTTGATTCATCTGGGAAAGCAATGGGGGATCGTCCCAGTGCTTGGGCCCCTGTTACTCACATAGGAAATCTAGATGGAGTTCCAGATTCCAGGTTTTGGCCTGGCCCAGTCCCAGCCCTAGTCACTGTGGTCATTCAGAAAGCAAAACAGCAGAAGGAAGGTTCTCTGTCAAACTGTCTACCTCTCTATAGCTTTGTCTTTCAAATCAACACTCTCTCTTTCTTAAAAAAAAATTTTTTAAGATTTATGTGTTTTTATTACAGAGAGGAGAGAGAGAGAGGAAGATCTTCCATCCAATGATTCACTCTCCAAGTGAGCGCAACGGCCAATGCTATGCCGATCCGAAGCCGGGAACCTGGAACCTCCTTCGGGTCTCCCACGCGGGTGCAGGGTCCCAAAGCTTTGGGCCGTCCTCTATTGCTTTCCCAGGCCACAAGCAGGGAGCTGGATGGGAAGTGGAGCTGCCGGGATTAGAACCAGCATCCATATGGGATCCTGGCGCATTCAAGGTGAGGAGTTAAGCCACTAGGCCATGTCACCGGGTCCAAAAAATCTTTTCATGCTCAAAAATTTGGGAATTCTGGGCACCCACGCACGGAAGACCCGGAAGAGGCTCCTGGCTTGGGATCAGCATAGCATCAGCCGTTGCGCTCACTTGGGGAGTGAATCATTGGACGGAAGATCTTCCTCTCTGTCTCTCCTCTCTGTATATCCGCCTTTCCAATA